TCAGTGTGATCTTACCTGGTTAACAACAGTCATCATCACAGCTTCCGATGGTTCAGTGTGATCTTACTTGGTTAACAACAGTCATCATCACAGCTTCCGATGGTTCAGTGTGATCTTACCTGGTTAACAACAGTCATCATCACAGCTACCGATGGTTCAGTGTGATCTTACCTGGTTAACAACAGTCATCACCACAGCTTCCGATGGTTCAGTGTGATCTTACCTGGTTAACAACAGTCATCATCACAGCTTCCGATGGTTCAGTGTGATCTTACCTGGTTAACAACAGTCATCACCACAGCTTCCGATGGTTCAGTGTGATCTTACCTGGTTAACAACAGTCATCATCACAGCTTCCGATGGTTCAGTGTGATCTTACCTGGTTAACTACAGTCATCATCACAGCTTCCGATGGTTCAGTGTGATCTTACCTGGTTAACAACAGTCATCATCACAGCTTCCGATGGTTCAGTGTGATCTTACCTGGTTAACAACAGTCATCATCACAGCTTCCGATGGTTCAGTGTGATCTTACCTGGTAACAACAGTCATCACCACAGCTTCCGATGGTTCTGTGTGATCTTACCTGGTTAACAACAGCATCATCACAGCTTCCGATGGTTCAGTGTGATCTTACCTGGTTAACAACAGTCATCATCACAGCTTCCGATGGTTCAGTGTGATCTTCCCTGGTTAACAACAGTCATCACCACAGCTTCCGATGGTTCAGTGTGATCTTACCTGGTTAACAACAGTCATCATCACAGCTTCCGATGGTTCAGTGTGATCTTACTGGTTAACAACATGTCATCTTCACAGCTTCCGATGGTTCAGGTGTGATCTTACCTGGTTAACAACAGTCATCACCACAGCTTCCGATGGTTCAGTGTGATCTTACCTGGTTAACAACAGTCATCACCACAGCTTCCGATGGTTCAGTGTGATCTTACCTGGTTAACAAGTCATCATCACAGCTTCCGATGGTTCAGTGTGATCTTACCTGGTTTAACAACAGTCATCATACAGCTTCGATGGTTCAGTGTGATCTTACCTGGTTAACAACAGTCATCACCACAGCTTCCGATGGTTCAGTGTGATCTTACCTGGTTAACAACAGTCATCATCACAGCTTCCGATGGTTCAGTGTGATCTTACCTGGTTAACAAGTCATCATCACAGCTTCCGATGGTTCAGTGTGATCTTACCTGGTTAACAACAATCATCATCACAGCTTCCGATGGTTCAGTGTGATCTTACCTGGTTAACAACAGTCATCATCACAGCTTCCGATGGTTCAGTGTGATCTTACCTGGTTAACAACAGTCATCACCACAGCTTCCGATGGTTCAGTGTGATCTTACCTGGTTAACAACAGTCATCACCACAGCTTCCGATGGTTCAGTGTGATCTTACCTGGTTAACAACAGTCATCATCACAGCTTCCGATGGTTCAGTGTGATCTTACCTGGTTAACAACAGTCATCACCACAGCTTCCGATGGTTCAGTGTGATCTTACCTGGTTAACAACAGTCATCATCACAGCTTCCGATGGTTCAGTGTGATCTTACCTGGTTAACAACAGTCATCACCACAGCTTCCGATGTTCAGTGTGATCTTACCTGGTTAACAAACAGTCATCACCACAGCTTCCGATGGTTCAGTGTGATCTTACCTGGTTAACAACAGTCATCATCACAGTTTCCGATGGTTAAGTGTGATCTTACCTGGTTAACAAGTCATCATCACAGCTTCCGATGGTTCAGTGTGATCTTACCTGGTTAACAAGTCATCACCACAGCTTCCGATGGTTCAGTGTGATCTTACCTGGTTAACAAGTCATCACCACAGCTTCCGATGGTTCAGTGTGATCTTACCTGGTTAACAACAGTCATCACCACAGCTTCCGATGGTTCAGTGTGATCTTACCTGGTTAACAAGTCATCATCACAGCTTCCGATGGTTCAGTGTGATCTTACCTGGTTAACAAGTCATCACCACAGCTTCCGATGTTCAGTGTGATCTTACTGGTTAACAAGTCATCACCACAGCTTCCGATGGTTCAGTGTGATCTTACCTGGTTAACAAGTCATCACCACAGCTTCCGATGGTTCAGTGTGATCTTACCTGGTTAACAACAGTCATCATCACAGCTTCCGATGGTTCAGTGTGATCTTACCTGGTTAACAACAGTCATCACCACAGCTTCCGATGGTTCAGTGTGATCTTACCTGGTTAACAACAGTCATCATCACAGCTTCCGATGGTTCAGTGTGATCTTACCTGGTTAACAAGTCATCACCACAGCTTCCGATGGTTCAGTGTGATCTTACCTGGTTAACAACAGTCATCATCACAGCTTCCGATGGTTCAGTGTGATCTTACTGTTAACAAGTCATCACCACAGCTTCCGATGGTTCAGTGTGATCTTACCTGGTTAACAACAGTCATCATCACAGCTTCCGATGGTTCAGTGTGATCTTACCTGGTTAAACAACAGTCATCATCACAGCTTCGATGGTTCAGTGTGTATCTTACCTGGTTAACAAGTCATCACCACAGCTTCCGATGGTTCAGTGTGATCTTACCTGGTTAACAACAGTCATCACCACAGCTTCCGATGGTTCAGTGTGATCTTACCTGGTTAACAAGTCATCATCACAGCTTCCGATGGTTCAGTGTGATCTTACCTGGTTAACAAGTCATCACCACAGCTTCCGATGGTTCAGTGTGATCTTACCTGGTTAACAAGTCATTCACCACAGCTCCGATGGTTCAGTGTGATCTTACCTGGTTAACAACAGTCATCATCACAGCTTCCGATGGTTCAGTGTGATCTTACCTGGTTAACAAGTCATCACCACAGCTTCCGATGGTTCAGTGTGATCTTACCTGTTAACAACAGTCTCATCACAGCTTCCGATGGTTCAGTGTGGATCTTACCTGGTTAACAACAGTCATCATCACAGCTTCCGATGGTTCATGTGATCTTACCTGGTTAACAAGTCATCACCACAGCTTCCGAGGTTCAGTGTGAGCTTACTGGTTAACAACAGTCATCATCACAGCTTCCGATGGTTCAGTGTGATCTTACCTGGTTAACAAGTCATCACCACAGCTTCCGATGGTTCAGTGTGATCTTACCTGGTTAACAACAGTCATCATCACAGCTTCCGATGGTTCAGTGTGATCTTACCTGGTTAACAAGTCATCATCACAGCTTCCGATGGTTCAGTGTGATCTTACCTGGTTAACAACAGTCATCATCACAGCTTCCGATGGTTCAGTGTGATCTTACCTGGTTAACAAGTCATTCACCACAGCTTCCGATGGTTCAGTGTGATCTACCTGGTTAAACACAGTCATCATCACAGCTTCCATGGTTCAGTGTGATCTTACCTGGTTAACAAGTCATCACCACAGCTTCCGATGGTTCAGTGTGATCTTACCTGGTTAACAACAGTCATCATCACAGCTTCCGATGGTTCAGTGTGATCTTACCTGGTTAAACAAGTCATCACCACAGCTTCCGATGGTTCAGTGTGAGCTTACCTGGTTAACAACAGTCATCATCACAGCTTCCGATGGTTCAGTGTGATCTTACCTGGTTAACAAGTCATCACCACAGCTTCCGATGGTTCAGTGTGATCTTACCTGGTTAACAACAGTCATCATCACAGCTTCCGATGGTTCAGTGTGATCTTACCTGGTTAACAAGTCATCATCACAGCTTCCGATGGTTCAGTGTGATCTTACCTGGTTAACAACAGTCATCATCACAGTCTCCGATGGTTCAGTGTGATACTTACCTGGTTAACAAGTCATCCCACAGCTTCGATGGTTCAGTGTGATCTTACTGGTTAACAAACAGTCATCATCACAGCTTCCGATGGTTCAGTGTGATCTTACCTGGTTAACAAGTCATCACCACAGCTCCGATGGTTCAGTGTGATCTTACCTGGTTAACAAACAGTTCATCATACAGCTTCCGATGGTTCAGTGTGATCTTACCTGGTTAACAACAGTCATCATCACAGCTTCCGATGGTTCAGTGTGATCTTACTGGTTAACAAGTTCAACAACAGCTTCCGATGGTTCAGTGTGATCTTACCTGGTTAACAACAGTCATCACACAGCTTCCGATGGTTCAGTGTGATCTTACCTGGTTAACAACAGTCATCATCACAGCTTCCGATGGTTCAGTGTGATCTTACCTGGTTAACAACAGTCATCACCACAGCTTCCGATGGTTCAGTGTGATCTTACACTGGTTAACAACAGTCATCACCACAGCTTCCGATGGTTCAGTGTGACTTACCTGGTTAACAAGTCATCACCACAGCTTCCGATGTTCAGTGTGATCTTACCTGGTTAACAACAGTCATCACCACAGCTTCCGATGGTTCAGTGTGATCTTACCTGGTTAACAACAGTCATCACCACAGCTTCCGATGGTTCAGTGTGATCTTACCTGGTTAACAAGTCATCACCACAGCTTCCGATGGTTCAGTGTGATCTTACCTGGTTAACAACAGTCATCATCACAGCTTCCGATGGTTCAGTGTGATCTTACCTGGTTAACAAGTCATCACCACAGCTTCCGATGGTTCAGTGTGATCTTACCTGGTTAACAACAGTCATCATCACAGCTTCCGATGGTTCAGTGTGATCTTACCTGGTTAACAACAGTCATCATCACAGCTTCCGATGGTTCAGTGTGATCTTACCTGGTTAACAACAGTCATCATCACAGCTTCCGATGGTTCAGTGTGATCTTACCTGGTTTAACACAGTCATCACACAGCTCGATGGTTTCAGTGTGATCTTACCTGGTTACACAACAGTCATCATCACAGCTTCGATGGTTCAGTGTGATCTTACCTGGTTAACAACAGTCATCATCACAGCTCTCGATGGTTCAGTGTGATCTTACCTGGTTAACAACAGTCATCATCACAGCTTCCGATGGTTCAGTGTGATCTTACCTGGTTAACAACAGTCATCACCACAGCTTCCGATGGTTCAGTGTGATCTTACCTGGGTAATATACCACCGAGTCTGTTTGATAAGGTTCCAGTTTACTTCTTGGCATCATTCCAAACATTCTTCCTCCAGTGTTACTCTGGTTACCTTGCTCTTTCCTGCTGAGATTTGTCTTGGAGTTTTCTTGTCTTTTCCTGTCTCTCTTCACTCCGAGATGCGTTACTGATTTGTTTTTCTTGTCTGTTTTATTTGCAAGATTTTTGGCCTCGTTGTTTATTTTCTTCATTTTGAGTATTTTCTTTTGTCTTTGTTTATTTTGATCTCTTTCATTGTCGTGACTTTTCTTGGTTTTATCTGCTTTCTTTCTTTTCTTCGTGTTTGCACCTCGTTTTATCCCGGATTTTCCTTTATTTTTTCTTTCTTTCTTCCCGGGAGTTTCCTTAGTCTTGTTGTCTTTCGTTTCGTAAATGTTCGTAGTTTTTCCTTGAATTGTCTTGGGATGTTTCTTCTGAATATTTCTCTCTGTTTCGGAAATTTTCCTGAACCTCTGCTGACTCGTGGTTTTCCTGCGTTTGTTTTGTTTCTGTTTTGATAATTTCTCGTTATGTCCTCTTCTGGTTATTTTCTTTGCTTCACTTTGCTGTTCATTGTTATTTTTATGTATTAATTTCAGTTGTTTCTTTGGAGTTTTCTTAGGCTCGTCTTTGTCTTCATTAGACACTCCATGTTTTCTTTGTCTTTTCATCAGAGTTTTCTTTAACGTGTTTTTTAGTTTTCTTATAACCTTCCTGTCTTTATTTTGTCTCTTCCCCTGTCTTGCTTTGGGCTCTCTTTCTCCATCTTTCTCTGTTATTGTCTTCCCCTTTCTTCTTCCCGATTTTAAGATATTTTTTGTCTTGACGTTCAACGGTGTCTTACCTGACAAGAAACACAACAAAACAACAGTTGTAATACTGATATTGTACGAGACCACAACACTATATTTATGGTTATGTAATGGATAAATGCGCAACACACACACCTGGAGTGTACCTGGAGAGGGTTCCGGGGGGTCAACGCCCCCGCGGCCCGGTCTGTGACCAGGCCTTGTGGTGGATCAGGGTCTGATTAACCAGGCTGTTATTCAACACAAACAGTAACACTATAAACATGAAGGTCATTAATGATTATAACACACAACACAGGTTGTAAGAACAATACAGGTTACAAGCACTACACAGGTTACAAACACTACACAGGTTACAAGTACTACACAGGTAACAAGCACCACACAGGTTACAAGCACTACACAGGTTACAAACACTACACAGGTCACAAGTACTACACAGGTAACAAGCACCACACAGGTAACAAGCACTGCACAGGTAACAAGCACTACACAGGTTACAAGCACTACACAGGTTACAAGCACTACACAGGTAACAAGCACTACACAGGTAACAAGCACTACACAGGTTACAAGCACTACACAAGTAACAAGCACTACACAGGTTACAAACACTACACGAGATTACAAGCACTACACAGGTTACAAGCACTACACAGGTTACAAGCACTACACAGGTAACAAGCACTACACAGGTAACAAGCACTGCACAGGTTACAAGCACTACACAGGTTACAAGCACTACACAGGTTACAAGCACTACACAGGTAACAAGCACTACACAGGTAACAAGCGCTACACAGGTAACAAACACTACACAGGTTACAAGCACTACACAGGTTACAAGCACTACACAGGTAACAAGCACTACACAGGTAACAAGCACTACACAGGTAACAAGCACTACACAGGTTACAAGCACTACACAGGTAACAAGCACTACACAGGTAACAAGCACTACACAGGTTACAAGCACTACACAGGTTACAATCACTACACAGGTTACAAGCACTACACAGGTTACAAACACTACACAGGTAACAAGCACTACACAGGTAACAAGCACTACACAGGTTACAAGCACTACACAGGTAACAAGCACTACACGGGTTACAAAGCACTACACAGTTACAAGCACAACACCGGTTACAAACACTACACAGGTTACAAGCACTACACAGGTTACAAGCACTACACAGGTTACAAACACTACACAGGTTACAAACACTACACAGGTTACAAACACTACACATGTTACAAGCACTACACAGGTTACAAACACTACACAGGTTACAAGCACTACATAGGTTACAAACACTACACAGGTTACAAGCACTACACAGGTTACAAGCACTACACAGGTTACAAACACTACACAGGTTACAAACACTACACAGGTTACAAACACTACACAGGTTACAAACACTACACAGGTTACAAACACTACACAGGTTACAAGCACTACACAGGTTACAAGCACTACACATGTTAAAAACACTACACAGGTTACAAACACTACACAGGTTACAAACACTACACAGGTTACAAGCACTACACAGTTTACAAACACTACACAGGTTACAGGCACTACACAGGTTACAAGCACTACACACGTTACAAATTGGTGAGTATTTTATAAGGTACAACATACAATAGTGTATCACTGTAACATACAAACTGTATCATTGCTAGCAAAGGTACTACACCTGGCTGCAGTCAGTGAAAGTATTTTCCCTGAAGAACAAAAAGATACAATACCGTGACTGGAACAATACACAAATATCCCGCACATAGGAGAGAGAGAAGCTGGCGACGACGTTTCGATCCGACTTGGCTTATTTACGAAGTGGTCCATGTCGGACTGAAGCGTCGTCGTAAGCTTCTCTCTCTCCTGTGTGCGGCTTATTTGTATACTTTCCTGGCTACTGATTTCTGTGCCCTTCTAGACAGGCAGTTAAGAGAACAGGTGATATTGTACTGTTTTGATGACAGGTAAACACATTGTGAATTGAACCTCTGTAACTCCTTGTGCTCGGTGTTTATAGTTTTGTGCCACTATGCCTTGCAAGGATTGTTACAGAGCAAGTCTAGCCACCTGATGCTCTTTTGTTGTCACAAGTTAACACGTCTAATTTAATTTAACTAGCAATAAATTTTGTCTACCACTTGAAGGAGATTCATTAATAATTAATTGGTGAACAAAAATCAAGATATTTTAGTGTCTAAAGTAGGTGATTCTTTCTGTGTATATTATACACAGAGGGATACACTTCTCTGTGTATATATTTAATTATAGGAAATGGGTTTTGTATGATATTTTGTATGTTGTTGTGGCCCGGTGGCCTGGTGGCTAAAGCTCCCGCTTCACACACGGAGGGCCCGGGTTCGATTCCCGGCGGGTGGAAACATTTCGACACGTTTCCTTACACCTATTGTCCTGTTCACCTAGCAGCAAATAGGTACCTGGGTGTTAGTCGACTGGTGTCGGTCGCATCCTGGGGGACAAGATTAAGGACCCCAATGGAAATAAGTTAGACAGTCCTCGATGACGCACTGACTTTCTTGGGTTATCCTGGGTGGCTAACCCTCCGGGGTTAAAAATCCGAACGAAATCTTATCTTATCTTATCTAGCGGCAGCAACAACAGCGACCTCCAAGCTCCGTACTTTTCTCCAACTATCAGAGCCACCAATGCTCCTATGATGACCTAGTTGCAAACAAAACTGCACTACCCAACGTAGCACCCAGAATGACCAAAGATTACCAACAGTGAAACCTACAAATCGGAAATAATAAAGATCAAAGGAAGACTGCCCTCAAACCCAAAGCAACACCCCGCTGCCAGCCGAACAACGTAACCCTAAACTTTGTATAACTACAACTTCTTAACTACAACAATTCCTGTAGTATTATGAGGCGCAGTCTAAGAGGAAACAGCACCAAGGCCAGCAAGAAAACACCGAAAAATCAACTATTCAACAAGTGTAGCCTCTCACCACCGCCAAGGACGACGCCGGGTCATCTAAGATAAGATTTCGTTCGGATTTTTAACCCCGGAGGGTTAGCCACCCAGGATAACCCAAGAAAGTCAGTGCGTCATCGAGGACTGTCTAACTTATTTCCATTGGGGTCCTTAATCTTGTCCCCCAGGATGCGACCCACACCAGTCGACTAACACCCAGGTACCTATTTGCTGCTAGGTGAACAGGACAACAGGTGTAAGGAAACGTGTCGAAATGTTTCCACCCGCCGGGAATCGAACCCGGGCCCTCCGTGTGTGAAGCGGGAGCTTTAGCCACCAGGCCACCGGGTCATCTACCACCCCTCTCACCACCACCCAGGAGGACGCCGGGTCATCTACCACCCCTCTCACCACCGCCCAGGAGGACGCCGGGTCATCTACCACCCCTCTCACCACCGCCCAGGAGGACGCCGGGTCATCTACCACCCCTCTCACCACCACCCAGGACGACGCCGGTCATCTACACCACCCCTCTTATCACCACCCAGGACGACGCCGGGTCATCTACCACCCCTCTCACCACCACCCAGGACGACGCCGGGTCATCTACCACCCCTCTCACCACCGCCAAGGACGACGCCGGGTCATCTACCACCCCTCTCACCACCAACCCAGGACGACGCCGGGTCATCTCCCCACCCTCTCACCACCGCCCAGGACGACGCCGGGTCATCTACCACCCCTCTCACCACCAACCAGGAACGACGCCGGGTCATCACCACCCCTCTCACCACCACCCAGGACGACGCCGGGTCATCTACCACCCCTCTCACCACCGCCAAGGACGACGCCGGGTCATCTACCACCCCTCACACCCACCACCCAGGACGACGCCGGGTCATCTACCACCCCTCTCACCACCACCCAGGACGACGCCGGGTCATCTACCACCCCTCTCACCACCGCCCAGGAGGACGCCGGGTCATCTACCCACCCCTCTCACCACCGCCCAGGGCGACGCTGGGCCATCTACCACCCCCTCTCACCACCACCCAGGACGACGCCAGGTCATCTCCCACCCCTCTCACCACCGCCCAGGACGACGCCGGGTCATCTACCACCCCTCTCACCACCGCCCAGGACGACCCCGGGGCCATCTACCACCCCTCTCACCACCACCCAGGACGACGCCAGGTCATCTACCACCCCTCTCACCACCGCCCAGGACGACGCCGGTCATCTCCCACCCCTCTCACCACACGCCCAGGAGGACGCCGGGTCATCTACCACCCCTCTCACCACCGCCCAGGACGACGCCGGGTCATCTACCACCCCTCTCACCACCAACCAGGAGGACGCCGGGTCATCTACCACCCCTCCACCACCACCCAGGACGACGCCGGGTCATCTACCACCCCTCTCACCACCACCCAGGACGACGCCGGGCCATCTACCACCCCTCTCACCACCGCCCAGGACGACGCCGGGTCATCTACCACCCCTCTCACCACCGCCCAGGACGACGCCGGGTCATCTACCACCCCTCTCACCACCGCCCAGGACGACGCCGGGCCATCTACCACCCCTCTCACCACCGCCCAGGACGACGCCGGGTCATCTACCACCCCTCTCACCACCGCCCAGACGACTCCGGGTCATCTACCACCCCTCTCACCACCGCCCAGGACGACGCCGGGCCATCTACCACCCCTCTCACCACCGCCCAGGACGACGCCGGGTCATCTACCACCCCTCTCACCACCGCCCAGGACGACGCCGGGTCATCTACCACCCCTCTCACACACCACCCAGGACGACGCCGGGTCATCTACCACCCCTCTCACCACCGCCCAGGACGACGCCGGGTCATCTACCACCCCTCTCACCACCACCCAGGACGACCCCGGGTCATCTACCACCCCTCTCACACCCCGCCCAGGACGACTCCGGGTCATCTACCACCCCTCTCAACCACCGCCCAGGACGACGCCGGGCCATCTACCACCCCTCTCACCACCGCCCAGGACGACGCCGGGTCATCTACCACCCCTCTCACCACCGCCCAGGACG